AAAAAAAAAAAAAAAAAAAAAAAAAAAAAAAAAACAAGTAACAGACAAATTGGACATGTAACCATGACTGTCCCCCACTTCCCCCTTCAACTACATCGGCCCTTTTGCATTTTCTCAAATTCTATCTGCAGTTTTGAGCCGATGTGCAGTCTTCAGCCATGGGGCCTCTGCATATGCAGTTTCTCCATCCTCATCTTGGCCCCCACTCCCTTGCCTAATTAACCCCTTTCCCTCCTTTAGGGCTCAGCTTTATCTCTCTGACCAGGTCAACTCCCTGGTCGAATAGCATCATAAACTCCTTTTTTTTTTTTAATTAATTTATCTTATTCATTTTTTTTGGCTGCATTGGGTCTTCATTGCTGTGCATGGGCTTTCTCTAGTTGAGGCAAGCAGGGGCTACTCTTCATGGCAGTGCGCAGGCTTTTCATTGCGGTGGCTTCTCTTGTTGCAGAGCACAGGCTCTAGGCACGTGGGCTTCAGTAGTTGCGGTACGTGGGCTTCAGTAGTTGCGGCACGTGGGCTCAGTCATTGTGGCTCACAGGCTCTAGAGCGCAGGCTCAGTAGTTATGGCGCACGGGCTTAGTTGCTCCGTGGCATGTGGGGTCTTCCCAGACCAGGGCTCGATCCCATGTCCCCTGCATTGGCAGGCGGATTCTTAACCACTGAGCCACCAGGGAAGCCCCAAACCTCTTCTTCTGGTAGTTTTAATTTTACACTTATTTGTATGACTCTCTACTTAATGTCTGTCTCACCTATTAGGCAATAAGCTTCACAAAGGCAAGAGACATACCAAGTTTTGGTCAGCATTCTAACCCAACACTTATCACAGTGCCTGGCACACAGTAGAAGCTGAAAAAAAGAAATCTGGGGCTTCCCTGGTGGTGCAGTGGTTAAGAATCCGCCTGCCAACACAGGGGACACGGGTTCGAGCCCTGGTCCAGGAAGATCCCACATGCCACAGAGCAACTAAGCCCATGCGCCACAACTACTGAGCATGCGCTCTAGAGCCCATGAGCTGCAACTACTGAGCCCACATGGCACAACTACTGAAGACCGTGCGCCTAGAGCCCGTGCTCCACAAGAGAAGCCACTGTGATGAGAAGTCCGTGCACTGCAACAAAGAGTAGCCCCTGCTTGCCACAGCTAGAGAAAGCCTGTGCACAGCAACGAAGAACAAAGGCAGCCAAAAATAAAATAAATTAAATAAATAAATTTATTTAAAAAAAAAAAGAATGGGGCTTCCCTGGTGGCGCAGTGGTTGAGAGCCCACCTGCTGAAGCAGGGGACGCGGGCTCGTGCCCCGGTCCAGGAAGATCCCACATGCCACGGAGCAGCTAGGCCCGTGAGCCATGGCCGCTGAGCCTGCGCATCCGGAGCCTGTGCTCCGCAACGGGAGAGGCCACAACAGTGAGAGGCCCGCATACCACAAAAAAAAAAAAAGAAAAGAAAAGAAATCTGGGGCAAGGAGGAAGAAAGGGAAGAAATTAACATGTATATAGACAGCTAAACAGTTGTACTGGCCTCCTTGCTATGCCTTGAACATGCGAGGCATTTTCTACCTCAGGGCCCTTGCATCTGCTGTTCCCTTTGCTTGGTAGTCCCTTGCCACAAAAATTTCCACAACTCTTTCTTCTTCCCCTCTTTCAAATCTTTCTTCAGATGGCATCATCTTGATGAGGTCTTCCTTGACCACCCTATTCCAAATCGCAAGAACTCTCCCACCCCAAACTCTAAACACTCCTTAGTAGCATCTCTATTTTATTTTCCTCTGCAGCACTTATTATGACCTAAAATGCTAAATATCTTATTTATTAGAGAATTATCTGTCTCTCCTCACTAGAAGATAAATCCCATAAGAGCAGGTATTTCTTTCAGTGGTATATTCCTAGAATATATATATTCTTAGAATAACGTTACTCTAAGAACTTAATAAATGTGTGGAAAGAATAACTGACTACCTAAGATAGAATTTTGTCAAAATTTTTCTATGTTCAAAATTTATCTTAATATACATTGTTTTAAATATGCAAAACAGTAAACTATCCACACTTAGGAAAAACTATCTCTTGTTTTAAGATTATAGAATTCCTAATTTTCAGGTGTTAAATTATTCTTCCTTTTTCAAAATGATGGTTCTAGCCACTATTTTTTCTCAATGGCTTTACGTGCTAACATGAGAAATGTTCAAATCTGTCAATATCCAATTTGGGGGGGAAATTTTATTGGTAAATGAAATCTAAAAGTCTGGGAACTAGTGACTTATAGGATTAAAATAATTCATCAGGGACTTCCCTGGCAGTCCAGTAGTTAAGACTCCATGCTTCCAATGCAGGGGGCACGGCTTCAATCCCTAGTTGGGGAACTAAGATCCCACATGCGGCGTGGCACAGCCAAAAAAAAAAAAAAAATTCATCAGAATGCCATTTCACTATCTAGCCCAACAGACCCATTGAAACCATTCCACCCTTCAAAAATCTTCTTTTCTAGTCAAGACAGTCTCCTTACCATTTTCAAACCATCATGATTTTAATCCCCCTGGATGCTTCCTCTGAACTGACTTTTCCCTTCCTTCATCGCTTCTTTAAATTCTTCCCATCCAAAGACTTCTCTCCTTTAAGTATATTATGTAAAATCCAAGAAGGCTTTCCTTACCACTCCAGCCTACATTCATCCTTCTCTCATCTGAATGCCTCTAGCCCCTTAGGTAGAGCTTATTCCAAACACTGGTTTGGCCCAAGCTGACTGTGTAAGAATCACTTCAGATTAAAAAAAGATTAAAAGGTTAAAAAAAAGACAATTTCCAGATTAGGAAAATCAGTGTCCAAGATTGGGGTACAGAAGCCAGTATTTTTTAAAAGCCCTCCCAAATGATTCTGCTTCACAGCTTGGCCTAGGAATAATTAATCTATACCACAGAGCCTGAAATTAGTCATAAAATACTTGGATTAAATAAACATTATTTATGTGTGCTTTCTAGAACTTTTCAGAGAAGAAGTTTTATCAAATAAAAATAATTTTTAACCATAATCATAATAGTTGTATGTTTACCTTAAGATTTTAAATTAAATATCAAATGTGCATGTCCCATGTCAAATTATACATATAAAAGCCTTAATTTTGAAACAAATCATTTCAAATCCAATTGTAACATTTTGACAAATATATGCAGAGGCGTTTGTGAATACAGTATATTGATATTATCATAGGAGAGCATATACTGCAAAGAAATTAACGTAATTAAGTTTATTCAAATGTGCAGCAAACAAAATTCACTTAAAAAAAAAAGTTAACCTAAATACAGTCTACTAACCTGCTTGTTGTTCTCTGCCATGGAAAGCTGCAATGCCAAGAGCATGGAGTCTGCACCACATACAGTAGTTCTCTCTGAGTTACAAAAAGTGTGCCAATTCCTTCTGAACTCTTTAATCATACCCAAGACAGACTTCTGATTAAGCACAGCCATCCTCTTAAAGTAAGACAGAAGGCAATGTTAAAAAGCCTTATTTTAATTGGAAATTGATATTTAACATGTATAAGGAAGCAGAGTTACAGAAAAATAAATAGTGAACAAGAGGTCATTTCGTATTTATAAGATTGCTTTTAATTAAATTTAGGAAAACAGAATAATACAATTTCTGGCCAATCGTATTTTCCTGTCCTCTAGTTTTCTTAAGCCAAATCTTTGAAAATAACAAAATCCAACCTTCAATCTGAAAATTCATACAAAACAGATAAATGCAAATTCTGCAAACATAATTATAGACACAAACATAGTTAATTAAAGCTGTATTTTTTTAAAATACTTATTTTGAGATAGATGGTAACATCTACGGTAGAACACAAAAGAAACAATTTCCTCCCATCCCTATATTGTCCCAAAAGGGATGGTCTATTTTCCACCCCTTTGAATCTGGGTCAGCCTTGTGACTTGATTTGACCAATAAAATGTGGCAAGAATGACATCATGGGAGTTCTGAGCCTAGATCTAGTTCCAAAAGGCCCATGCAGAAAAGAGTTAATATAGCAGGCCTGACTACTACCCTTTGAAAAGCCTGCTTACAGGGTTGGCATCTGGGAACTTAGATTTCAGGACGATTTCCTATAAGAATGGTTCACTGTGCCTAAACTATTTGTATAAATAATATAGCTTATGCTGAACATATGCTTTTCTTTTGAGTCTGGAATTTGGGAACATAGAGGATACCTACATGTTCAGACCTCAGTAGATTCCCTGGGCGCTGAATCTCTAAAGAGCTTCCCTGACAGATAACATGTCATGTGTTGTCGTAATTTGTTGCTGGTAAAATTAAGTATATCCTGTGCGACTCCACTAAGAGAAGACTTTTGGAGGCTTGTGCCTGATCTCCCCTGGACTTCACCCCATGTATCAATACCTTCTCCCTTTGCTGATTTTGCTTGGCGTCTTTTTGTTGTAATATATTATAGCATGAGTACAACTATATGCTGAGTCCTCTGAGTCCTCTTAGCAAATTATTCAACCTGAGGTGACCTTGGGGACCTCCTGACACAGGCCTTGCAGTTTTAGCTCTTACTCTCTTGCTACTCTCAGAATGACAAAAGCTGTGCTCTTACATCACTATATTACATAACTTCTCCTGATAGACAAAGGCCTTTCAAAATAATTGGATGTAGTTCCAATGTTTTATATACTCAAGCCTATATAAGGCAGCCAAGTCCTTTCTCTGAGTGTACAGACATGCCTCTAAACCTTTTTTTCCCTACTTTCTTTTAAGTACCCCAGTCTCCAGTACAGTCACATGCCATTATCTTATTTGGGGTATTTTACTGTACACATTCCCATTTACTTACTCCTCTGTTATCTTTTTCTTCTTTTTTTATGTGGCATAAACAGAATCCAGGGTGTTTACCAGGTATCTTGGGTTTGTATGATCAAAAAAATAGGCATGTGCCATTTACAAAATAATAATTTATAATCAGTGATGCAATTTAAAGATACAGGTAGAAGCCTATAAATTAAAATATCTATAAAACTATATATCCTAGTAAATAGTAAAATTCTCTTCAAAATATCCCCTTCGTCTCTTAAAAGAAAAAAAACATAAAGTGAAGAAATAAAGCTTCAGTGATATGACTAGTTTGCCTAAAATCAATCTTCAGTAGTAAATTATTTACTGGTATTATCTGAAGATACTATGAGTTCGGATTGCCAATAATGAAGACTAATCTGGAATTAGACGATTCTGAATTCTGACTCCACCACTTAAAAGCTGTGAGACCTTCTCCAAGTTATGTCACCTCTCCCTGTCTCAGCTTCCTTGTACTGTACTGAAGATGAAAATAATACGCCTAACTCACACGGTTTTGTGAAAAGCAAATGACATAAATACAAGGTAAGCTTTTACAACTATGCCTGGCACATGTAAAAGTGAATCTCATCGAAGGGTCAGCATACTTTTGGAGAGGTTCAAATAGTAAACTTTTGAGGCGTTCAGGCCATCGGGTCTCTTACAACTACTCAACTTGACCTTGCAGTGTGAAACTAGCCACAGACAATACATAAACAAATGAGTATAGCGGCCTTCAGCAAAACTTTACATAAACTGAAATTTGAATATCATAATAATTTTTACATGTCACAAAATATTATTCTTCTCTTGATTTTTTTTTTCCAACCATCCAAACATAAAAGCCATTCTTAGCTCAGGAACTGTCTGCACAAAAACAGGTAGTGCCACTAGTTTGCCAAGCATGGTCTAGCCTCAACTCTTCCAGTAGCTAGCTTGGTTGTGTGAGCCCAGACAATAAGCCTTACACCTGACTGCCTAGGTAGAGATATAATACTTTCCACAAATCAATGAGACAACGAATATGCAAACATTCTGAATGTGAGGCTGAACGATACAAAAAGTTCTGATGAGCCTAAATTTCTTCACCTGTAAAAGAGGGAAGATTATCTCCTACCTCATAAAATTAGGAGACGTTAGTGAGGCAAGTAAATAATCCACCTAGTGCCGGGCACTTAGTAGATGCTCAATTAAAAAAAGGGGGCGTCGTTGCTGTTCACGGTCAGAATGCAGGTACTAACAGTTCCTTGGGAGGATATAACAGGGAGAGGGCGAAAGCAGCGGAATTGGAGTCTACGTACGTTTAGGATTGGAACACTGGTTTCCTGCCTAACTAATGAATCTAAGTAGGGCTCTGTGAGCCTTATTCTTCCAGTCAGCAGATGATCCCTCAGGACCTTTCAGCTCCATCACTGGAACCTACGAACTCTGTTCAACACCCCCAGACCAAACCAGGCCCCAGTGCAAAGACACTGCACAAATAATTCCGTAGACGGTCACACGGCGCTCTGCTGTTACCGAAAAAAACCCTCACAAGCCGCGCTTGAATCACCACTTCAAGTGTGACAGGCGGGCAAGGAGGAGGCGACACTCACCTGGCTCGGGGGAGAACCGGGAGGTGCAGACTCGCCTGAAGAAAGCTCCAACCCGGCTGCAATGAGTGACCGCGCGTTTACATTTTAAATATCGCGGGAGGGTCGGGGAGCCAATCGCAGCTCCCGCCCTCTGACCCGGAAGCAGAACCGGCGCGCAGCAGCTCTTGGCGAAGACTAACTCCCCTCTAGCTGCTTCCAGGCGCCCTCAGGTGCGTATCGCGCGTGAGCCCAAAGAGCAGCCCCTCTGTGCTCCCGGCCGCCCGACGCCTCTACTCTATCTCTGAAAGTTCCTCCTCACCCCGGGCCGTTCCCCCCGCTTCCCTCCGACCTCGGGCTCCGGGAGGTGGTAGCGGGGTCTCGCGGGACTTGCCAGGCGTCGGGGCTCTGCCGGAACTTCTCTTGTTCCCTCCCTCCTCTGTCTTAGCAGTGTTAGAAGGGCAAGCCCAGCCCGCCTTATACAGTGAGACCCTGAGACTGGGCACTACTTTAATGAGCAATTAGGGACCGAGTTTCCGGATCTGGAATCTTTTGCACTTCCCACACCGATATCTTACCTGTTGGTCACCCTTAACAATTTTCAGTCCCCTTAAGGTTACTAGTTTACAGATTCCCGAGGTGCAGCTCAACTCATATGTTTCTCAGTAAATACTCATCAGGTGTTTGATGTGTTTGTTATGGAGCCCAGATGTTTTCAGGATAACTACCGTCCAATTATAAAAAACCAAAAAAAAACCTGACCTCTTTAGAATCCATAAGTCTCATCTGGGAATGCTACTTCCAGAATGCCCACCAGCCCATGAAACGTTAGTTGAAGTTTTGTGCCTGGCTTTATGAATATTATTTTTGTATCCCATGTTGGCACTCCTTCCTCCAGATCGTATATTTTGTATCTGCTTATATTAAAGAACTTTTCACACTGAATCATAAATAACCCTGGATTGTGAGCTCCTTCAAGTCAGGAGTCTGTTTTTCTTCTCTAGTACTGGTGTCCAACACTTAGGAAGGTCTCAAATTCTGGCTTCTCTTATGAGCTTGGAAAGCTAGTTAACCATCTAAAGTCTCGATTTCTTCATCTGTAAAATGGGGATCAGAGCACCTCCCTCTTAGGCTTGTGCAAGTATTAGACGTGATAATGTCAGTAAAATACTTAACGTGGCACCTGCAAATAGTGCTCCATGAATGTTAACTATCATTAATTTTTTATGAATATATTTACTATTAATGTGATTCCATCTTTAAGTACTCACTGTATCTTTTAAACTAAACAGAATTTTGTGGTGACTTATTCTGAAAGTATCATTCACAAAGTATATGAATAAGTAATTTTTTTTTGATCTGCCTGAAGTCACATCCTTATTTTGATTAATTGTGTAAAGTAATCCTTTGGCGGTTTCTAACTGTTCCTGTGCTGTAATCCACAGTTTCGTGACCTTGTCCAATAGAAGGCTATTTTTACAACTGCACGAGTTTTGCCATACAGGATGAAGCAAGATGCCACAAGAAATGCTGCCTACACTGTGGATTGTGAAGATTATGTGCATGTGGTAGAATTCAATCCCTTTGAGAGTGGGGATTCAGGAAACCTAATTGCATATGGTGGCAATAATTTCGTGGTCATTGGCACATGTACATTTCAGGTTAGTGTACAAAACTGCAGTGAATGACAGTGAAGATATTTCACTGATAAGAAAACTTATACAAACTTTGGTAAACTTTGGCTAAACTTTAAAAGTATATTGAGTTTGAATGTTTAAAAAAAAAAATGATGTGAAGAACTACTGAGAAAGACATTCCCAATAATATATACCTGATATTTGTGCAAACATTAAATAAGTAGTGAAAAAGAATATAGTTGACCCTTGAACAACACGGGTTTGAACTGCATGGTTCACTTATACGTGGACTTTTTTCAATAGTAAATATTAGGATACTATAGGATCTTAAGTTAGTTGACTCTGCAGATGCCAAGGAGCTGCCCACAGGGAGGGCCTAGTGCAAGTTATAATAGGATTTTTGACTGCGAGGAGGGTCATCGCCCTAAC